GGAAGAAAAAACATATCTTTGGTTTGGACGTACTCCTTCTGATTTTGAAACGAAATTACGTCCTCCATGGATACATGCATACACAAATCAAAATGTGTGTGGTTGGGTTCTGTTTGTTTGATACAGTTATAACCAAGATATTCATTTCTTCGAAGGTAAGATAAAATTGAGAATGGAAATGGGGAATATGTCAAAGAGACAACAACCCGACCAAAGAGCAGAAAACTTATTATTTTCTCTTTAAATATGGTTAAAGATATACCCTCCTAAATTGTTGTTTAACTTTTATTTATTTCTACAACATTATGATAACCATAGAGATAGATATGTTGGTTTAGAATCAAATAACTTGTGATCAAGTTCGTCGATAGGATTGATAAATTATATGATACACATATAGCGATTAAATTGTACCGACAAACATTAACTAATACAATACTAATCTATTTTCTGTTTGATACCAAAACAAATTTCAAATTCCATAGAAATAGTAGACACTATTAAAAGAGTTCTAGCATATACAAAAGGAAACAATACATAAAAAATTGAAAGAAATACCTAAGAATGCTTTCCACACGCAATTAGAAACTAAACTAACAAGAACCCTTGCAACAACTCTTTGAGGGCTCCGTAAGTGGCCTGTTGCCAGGCAAAAATGTTGTCCCTATCTAATATACTCTCATTTTCCAACGGCTGTCCAAATGTCGCAGACCTTTATCCCAGACGTCACCTATTACTGAACCTACAAGTTGTATTTATTGTGAATTTATTCTCGTCCTGAACATATATGAAATATTTGTCACTGAATGTTAATCAACCAACAGTAAATCAAAAATCTTTTTTTCGCTTACTGCAACGCTGCGTAATCATGACTTTTTTAGAACTCTCAAAGTTCTCCAAATCAATAGAACGGTTTTCTTAAGGAACCGACCATTCATCTTCATGAGACAAACATTTTTGTCCACTGTGCGACGCATTGCGGGGGACATTGAAATACCGTCCGTCCGTCCATCCGTCCGTCTGTCCTTCCGGTTCTTGTTAGCGCTATCATGTGTACAATTCTTGCCAGATTTTTATAAAACTTATATCAAAGGTTTCTATCAGCAAGGTCTTGGACAAGTTCAAAAATCAGTGCCGATCAATTATTTTTAAAAGAGTTGAGCCCCTTGGAAATATTAACTATGTAGAATACTGCACTGTATATGCTCTTTTGTATACAATTTTGCCAGAGTTTTATTGAATATATATCCAAGGTTTATATCAGCAATGTCTTGGAAAATTTCGAAAAAATCAGTGCCGATCAAGTATTTCACGGAAATATTAATTATATCGGATATTGCATTAAATTTGCTCCAAAGCCTTCATTTATTTGAGATATTTATAAAAAAAAAAATTTAAGAACAAAAAAGTTTTTTTTAGTTTTTGCCCTTGAACAGATAAAATATGTGCAAAGCGGGGGATATTGGAACTCTGTTCGTTTTATTTTAATTACTGTAATAAAAAAAAATCATTTTCAATACATTTTAAAACTGAATAACCTGTCTTTAATTTTCGCTCTGACCTTGACATTGACCCCTTAGATAGTAAAACCATGTCCAATTCTTGTTTTGCTCGTAACTTTGTATCGTAAAACATTCTAAAAGTCAAGTCAATCTGACCTTGACCTTTACTTTTGACCACTGTAATAGATAACCCTGTCCAATTTCAATTTTGTGCCCGGTTCATCGCGTTTGTACTTTAAAACTTAGGTTAATCAAACTTTGTACGCAGTTGCATCATGGGCTTGGGGTGCGTCATACCCCAAAGTCAGATCACTCTGACCTTGATTTTGTCTTTTAACACTTATAATAGTAAAACCTTGTTCAATTCGTGTCTGGCTCATATTTTTTGTACCGTAAAATTTTGGTTAACCAAACTTGGTATGCAGTTCTATCATGGGCCTGGGGTGTGTCATATACCAAAGGCAGATCATTCTGACCTTTTGCCGTTGACCCCTATGATAATAAAAACCTTGTCTGATTTTTGTCCTGCGCATAACTTTTAAACCATAGAACTTAGGTTGACCAAACTTGGTATGGTGTTACATCATGCAATTGGGGTGCGTCATATCAAGACGCTGAGTCTGTCCTTGACCTTTGACCATTTTGATAGTCAAACAGTTTCTGGTTTGTGTTTGGTGCATAACTTTTGTACTGTAGCTCTTAGATTGACAAAACTTTGTACGCAGAAGCATCATACTAGCCTTGACCTTCAATTTCAGAATTTACAGTTATGCAAATTAACTTCAGAATTTGTTCCTGAGTCAGTACAATTCTTTCAGATTGGTCTATTATTAACAATGGGTCAATTTAACACAGAGGCAATGATCATATAAGATAAATGGATGAAAACCAAAACTCTCAAAACGTCATTGTTTGAATGCTGAATTTCACAGCAGTATCTAAAATGTATGTACAGGGTTATAAGTCCCGCTACGAATCTAGTGTATACTAACTTGTTATTCCTGTCTACATATTGTCATTGTTGATTAAATCCTTTCATAAATTCTCTATCACTTCTGTTGTATTGGTGTTAAGTTTGCGGTCTTATTTGAAATAAGAGATGTGATATTATTGCCAATTAAACCATTGTGGTGACGTCAGCCTATTCATTTACCGTGGATTTTTTTTCTAGAATCAACGCTTCCTAAATCTGCCGCTGAAATTGACTCACCAAATTATATTCAATTGTTTCCTTTGTGTGCCTAATTTCATTAAGTTTGAATTGGCTAATTTACTGATTTCTGTTCACTAATGGAATTAATTTAAAAACTTACCTTTAATTTTTGTAATTTTTATATGCCTTCACTGGGAATCGAACCCTTTCTTGAAATCTGTTATGTGTGACTCACATCAATACATCGACGAAACCTCTCGGCTACCAATGGGTTACACTATAAATGTCTATTTTATATATTTAAATAAACATTTGATATACATCGGTTCATCTGACACACATGGCTTGTACCTTTATATAGACACAATAGGCAGTCGTATAGTATGAGTTGGTAGCCGCGAGGTTAGCATGGTTAAAATCAATGATTTGTCGGTTTAGGTTCGAATCCCTGTATTCTCTCTGTTGTTCCAATTCTTAAGTTATCCTGGTTTTATTCTAATTTTGCATGTTATAGTGGATATATTTGTAATAATAGCGAGTTTTACAGGGTTTTTTTTAATTATTATTGGCTATTTCACATGTTTGAAACAAAAATGATTACATTCTATTTGTCAATTTTTGTTTTATAAATAAAGTATGATTTCATCTGTTTTACTACATAATTTTACAAAGGTTTGTTCGCAAATTCCTAGAAAATCGTGATGTGCCTAGAGTGCTAGAAAAATTTCGATAACATACTTATTATATATACTTTATATATGCTTTTTGGTCGGGATGTTGTCTTTTTGACACTTTCCCCATTTCCATTTTCAATTTTATTAGAAATAATTTGAATATGTCTTATTTTGTATAAACAGATAATATTCATATGCCTGGTAATATAAAGATCTTTAAAGGTAGAAGTGTTATATTGGTATTTTGTTAACTAATTAATTGTGATCTGAGATTTATCAATGCATCGTTGGACACGATAACATGGTTATTTAAACTCACTTACAATACCTTCTAATTAAGAAAAGGCTTTAATTTTGAAAAGAAATTAACACAATAGTTTAAGTTATAGATACAATGGATAAGCGTAGATTCATGAAAAACAAACCATTCGCCCTCCGGGCTCATGGTTTCTTTTTCAAGAATCCACGCTTATCCATTGTATCTATATAACTGAAACAACTATCCACCTGAGTTCAAAGTAGGAAGATCGAAGCAATTACAGGTCACCATACAGCCTTCAACAATGAGAAAACACATACCATATAGTCGGCTATAAAATGCCTCGATATTAAAAATTTGAAACAATTCAAACAAGAAAACTAACGGTTTAAGTAATAAAAATACAATGTGCGAAAAAAAAATATGATGAACATGAGCCAATAAAAACCACCGAATCACAGGCCCATGGCATGGGATAGGCACATCAAGAATATAACAGAGCTTTCTGAGTACTGAATAATTAAATCTGCAGCAAGGTTGCAATTAAAAATATCAAAATTATACATGATAAATATATGAAAAAAAGAGGTGATTTTCGATGATTGCTGATGAGATAACTATATATATTTAGCCAGGCCAGAGCCATAAGCATATGTGTGAAAAAAGCAAACAAACAACACAACTGTGATTAAATTCAAATTTGAAATAATATACATCTAACGTTGTAAACTTTCAACAAGTGCACTTTGATTTACCATGGCGTTGGCATTTTCTCTCGACTTACGGGTTTTGAATGACCCCTTGATATCTCCTTTTGTTTTTCTATACAATGAAAGGGTTATTGCATGGATATTGGTATATATTATTCCTCATAAAATATATATTGCACTCGCAAAAATCTACTCGGGACAAAACTCAGCAATTTTCATGCAATAACCCTACATTATACACAAGTCTGATATTTCTAGATTGTTTATATTTTTGATTGACGTTTTTTTCAATCTTGTTTTGAATATGGATCATTGTTAAAAGCATTTCGATCCAATCAAACTAGACGACTTTATAGTATAGTAGTAATGTTTTGTAGGCTGTTTCGTCGTTAGGTTTTTGTCCATGGAAGTGTCTGTTTTTCTGCGACTAATGATTTTTTAATAGTCTTCTTGGTATCTTCTGCCTCTATTTGTATGTGTATTTGACTTGTCAATACTAGATGTGATAAAAACTTTCAATACGACGATCTACAAGAAATTAATTTTTCGGCGTTTCAGAGACACTGACTAGGATTGCCAGTTTTCCTGCCTAATATCGGTGGTTTTCTCGTGGTACTTCGGCTTCCTCCACCAATAAAAACTGGCCACCACTATATATAGCCAAGACTGCTGAAAATGGCATTAATAACCAACAATCAATCAATCAATCAATATATTTTAATAAATTGTCAAATATATTTTTTTTTGCAAAACCTTTTATATATATGAGGTATCATTCTACAATTATATTTTATTTTATAAGACGTTGTCATTCATATACTTCGACCGCCGCTAGCTGCAGATAATTATCTGCTGTGTTCTCCTCCATGATCTGTAGTTTGACATAGCGAGCCTCAATTGGCTGCCTGCAGACGAGGATGACCAGTTCCCCATTCTTAGCCCTTCCTTTGTAATGATCACACAAGCTCATAACTGACAATGACTTCCCAGCAGTAACATCTAAGTTGTGTAGTCTATGTCCTATAAATAAATAAATAAATAAATAAATAAATAAATAAATAAATAAATAAATAAATAAATATGTGTTACAACAGTCGATGGCTTAGAATACATGCATGTTTTGAAATTCTATATGTCATCGATAAACATTTGTTGTTTCTGATTTTTCTTCTTGAACGGTAGCATTCAACCAATAGCAAATGCTACCTCAGCTGGCTTCCTGTAGTAGCGAGCTCATTTTGACCCGCTTTCCGAATAGTGTGCAGTATTTTATATCTTGTTCAAGTTATTGGTCATCGTTTTTGTAATTGGACTGTGCAGGTTTTTGTTTTTATTGTGTGTGTTTACCTTCATAAGACCCACATAACGCTCGTTTAACGTCAGAAAGATTTCCTTTTTGTGTCGCTATTGAATACTCTTGTTTGCTTCTTTTTCTCGTCCGTTTTCGAGAGACTAGCAGAGTGTACGATGTCTCAGCAAAAGAAATTGGTGTGATGGGGATATTTCAGTCCATTGCAACCACATGATACATTTTTGTTAACTAATAACACGATTCGAAAGGAATATCTCAAATTCATAACAATAGCTCATTCAGATAGCACAATATATCCATCATCCACAAAATATAACACCTAGATGAAAAATGAGTCATCTGTAGACATTCCTCTTTCATTCCAAAGAAAAAAAAAACACTAAAATTATTTCCAGATATGAAATTTCATCAAAGCTTAACGAAATATTACGCATATGTGGGCATTTACACTCGTGACCACGGAACGATTTTATACATGTATTTATAAACTTTTGTTAGTTGCCATCGACGCTCAGCAATAAAATATGTCTTTACATACAACATTAGAATTATATTCATAGGGTTTTACTTGAACGAGGATCCAGAATAACCGGCCTGGAATTGATAGTACTTGTTTGATATATATTTTCTGGTATCTCTACTGCAAAACCTAATTGTTAAATGACCCTTTTAAGGCCAAAAATGTCAATTCCAAAATTTTATGACGTCAAAGTGAGATCACCACTAACATGTTTTTTTTTCTGAAGTGTCCAGATTATATTATCCTATTACTTTATCGATAAAACTAAGATTTAAGCATTTTATTATTTTTGGAATTTCAATGGAAAGCAGATGGCTCTTATCATACTTAATTCGTTCACTGTTCACAGCTTCAGAATTTTGAGCATACTATCACGTTGTACTACAATTTCAAAGTGAAAGAATCCATAGCTACGTTTTAAGTTCTATTATTATATTACCAGATGTCAATCTATTGTAGATGTCAACACGACGGACTTTGTAAGTGTTTCCCAAGTCGACCCACCAATATGGTTTGCTCGTTCCATAGTTAACTCCATCACTGAAACCGGTATGTCCTGTGTGAGAAAAGGTGACTAGGTTCCCATCAATAGCATAGTTACATGCGTCTAAATGAGTAGAACTTTGTCCACATTTCTTGTTGACTGCAAGGTCGAATCTTCCAAATTCTGTTGAAGATAAAAACATTAGGACAGGTCAAATTTTGTTTAGCAAACTTTTTGATGAAATGAAACATAACTATAAGTGTCTTATACACATTATATGACAGTGGTGGATCCAGGGGTGTAGAGGGCGTACGCCCCCCTTTGATTGCAAAAAATAAAATAAAAATCTCATGTTTATCACGATATAGGAAATTTTTTAGTATAAAATAGTCCAAAATGTTTTCACCTAGCTCCGCTCGGCGGTATATGTTCAATTATCGGGAATAACGCTCTCTTTCAAAAACTTTAGATCCGCCCCTGTATAAAGACACTTTCTATGGTGCCTAGGGGGAGGGTTCATATCAACAGGTGATGTTATATGCAAAGAAGGAGTCGATAGAGACACTTTCTATGGTGCCTATAGGAAGAGGACATATCAGAAGGTGATGTTATAAGTCAAGAAAGGGTCGATAGAGACACTTTCTATGGTGCCTGTAGGGAGGGGTCATATCAGCAGGTGATGTTATATGTAAACAAAGGGTCGATTAATACACTTTCTATAGTGCCTATATGGATCATATCAGCAGGTGATGTTATATGCAAAGAAGGAGTCGATAGAGACACTTTCTATTGTGCCTATAGGAAGGGGCAATATCAGCAGGTGATGTTATTAGTTAAGAAAGGGTCGATAAAGATACTTTCTATGGTGCCTATAGGGAGGGGTCATATCAGCAGGTGATGTTATTAGTAAAGAAGGGGTCGTTAGAAACAATTTCTTTGGTGCATTAGGGGAGGGGTCATATCACCAGGTGATGTTATAAGTAAAGAAAGGGTCGATAGAGACACTTTTTATTGTGCCTATAGAGAGGTGTCATATCAGCAGGTGATGTTACTAGTAAAGAAAGGGTCGATAGAGACACTTTCTATGGTGCCTATAGGGAGGGGTCAGCAGGTGATCTTATAAGTAAAGACGGGGTCGAAAGACATACTTTCTATGGTTCCTATAGGGAAGGGTCATATCATCAGGTGATGTTATAAGTAAAGAAAGGGTCGATAGATACACTTTCTGTGGTGCATATAGGGAGTCAGAGGTCATATGAGCAGGTGATGTTATATGAAAAGAAAGGGTCGATAGAGACACTTTTTATGGTGCGTATAGGAAGGAGGTCATATGAGCAGGTGATGTTATAAGTAAAAACAGGATCGATAGAGACCCTTTCTTATAGGGAGGGGTCAGATCAGCAGGTGGTGTTATGGGTAGAAATAGGCTCTATATCAACAGTGTATACGAGAAGTATAGAATCCTTTCTGATGGTAACGTATCATTCAAATGGATTCTACTTCTATTTGTATTGTTGTAAACTGTGGTAAAAGACCCCTTTACTGCGTCGTCCACCTATATGGGATTGTGTATGAAAGAGTTGAATCAATCTTTCTAGGTTCATTTTTCTCCAAAAATGACCGAAATAATGGAGGGAAATTATACAATATAGCAACTTTTAGTCCATGACTTTTTGTCCGTGACTTTTTGTACGTGTCTTTTTGTCTGTGTCTTTTTGTCCGTGACTTTTTGTCTGTGTCTTTTTGTCCGTGACTTTTTGTCTGTGTCTTTTTGTCTGGGTCTTTTCGTCCGTCCGTTTAGTTTTTGTCTGGGTCTTTTTATCCGTGACTTTTTGTCTGTGTCTTTTTGTCTGTGTCTCTTGTCCGTGACTTTTTGTCCTGTGACTTTTTGTCTGTGTCTTTTTGTCCGTGACTTTTTGTCCTGTGACTTTTTGTCCGTGACTTTTTGTCTGTGTCTTTTTGTCCGTGACTTTTTGTCCTGTGACTTTTTGTCTGTGTCTTTTTGTCTGTGTCTTTTTGTACGTGACTTTTTGTCCCGTTACTTTTTGTCCGTGACTTTTTGTCTGTGTCTTTTTGTCCTGTGACTTTCTGTCCTATATTCATTTTCTAGTGACAGTTTAAATTTCCCGCGATTCATCCCGATTAAAGGACCTTCCGGTTGTATTCATTCTTAATTTGTCATCATCCTGAGCATGCATGAAATATTTGACACTGGACGTAAAACAAACCCTGATCAATCAATCTACCCATTTGTATTACTCCTATTATCACTGTAAATTAAATATACCCCTTCTGCTAGTGCTGTCAGGGATATATGTCAAATATTAGTACAATGAGCAATTGATATTAATTAATTTTAAATGGTATACAAGAAAAAAAATAAAGCAAATAAATACTGGGTGTTATAATGGTTCCTCTATCAAACTATATGTAATGAAAGAAGTAGTAACTGTATTATTATATTGATACAAATTATAAATACACTTACACCATGATCCCATTATAGGTAAACGGATATCGCACATATATCATGATCACCATAAACGCGGTCAAATTGCAGAATGTCCCCCCTCCCCCTTTCCTAAATTAATGAAATCTATCGTTTTGCATTAATTATAAAATCCTTTTGTAAATTATATAAGTTGGATGATTAACTTCATTTAGTGTTCTTCAAACAGTAATCTTTTACTAAAATACCTTAATGTACTGTAATAGGTATGTTGTTTTTCTTTAATTGTTTAACATTTCTTACCGATATAACATGTTACTTTTATTATTCTTCCCTTAGTTTATTTATTTTGTATTTACATTGTGTCATAGGTCAAATTTATTTGTTCAGTGTATGTTCAATGGTGTTAATATGTCCTTTGATTGAGTTAAGCTATTTCAGTTGATATTTTATAGTGTGTCTTTCTATGTTGTGATGTTACACTATTGTTTCAGAAAAAGGGTGAAGGTTTGGTACCATTCAAACGTTTAAACCCGCTGCATTTGTTTGCACCTGTCCTAAGTCAGGAATCTGATGTTCAGTAGTTGTCGTTTGTTGATGTGGTTCATAAGTGTTTCTCGTTTCTCGTTTTTTATATAGATTAGACCGTTGGTTTTCCCGTTTGAATGGTATTACACTAGTAATTTTTTGGGGCCCTTTATAGCTTACTGTTCGGTGTGAGCCAAGGCTCCGTGTTGAAGACCGTACTGTGACCTATAATGGTTTACTTTTATAAATTCTGACTTGGATGGAGAGTTGTCTCATTGGCACTCATACCACATCTTCTTATATCTATGGATTATTTCCCTTTTCAGTGCTAAATTATTTCAGGCTGTTAATTTATTTGCTTGATTATATTTCATTTCTATTTGCTTGATTATATTTAGTATTCATATAAGTAAGACCTTTATTTATTTGACGTTTGCGATAATTTTGTAATGTTATTTATTTTTGCTTACCATTTTGAAGGAACTTATTTCAATGAAATAATTATAATATCTGAATATGAATTAATCACTTAAGTACACTTTAAAACATTATATAAATTACCTGTATGAATATTTGTGTGGTGTAAGATGTATGAGAAATGATTTTGAGAAACACTTTTTAAAGTATAATACTATTGTGCAAGAGACTGAAGGTGACATTGCATTTAACTTTTGATTATTGTGTTGATGATATATGTCATTATACTTTTTAACCATTGTTTTGTGAATATTTTTCTGTAATATGTAATATATCTATTGTACATAAATGTTGAATAATTGAATAAAGATAAAAAAAAAAAAAACAACAGTGCACTGAGTTGCACAATATGAATAGATTTTGTCAAGACCAGTCTGTTTGAAGTCAAGCTCTATATGCAAGCCTCTTTGCGTCATGAGGGGCCTGATGGGTTATTTTCGTTCTTCGTGATCGGTGCATTTTTGCTATCGTGATCCGTTTTTCTACAGATTTATTTTTTTTATATATTTTCGTGATCCGTGATCATGGAAATTTATTTTCTGTGAATCGTGATTGACAAAAAAATCAACTCGTGAATCGTGATGAGACCCTCCCATCAGGCCCCTCCGTCATGATAGCTAAGCTAACCTGGTTTTGTATACGATGTTAGGAAGGGTTTCTGTCTAAAAGTAATTAAGTTGTTTTGATGTGTTAAATATATGAATTGAATATGCCTTTCCTTTCTTTTCATTAAATTGTTTTTTGTTTTACTGCTTTGAGTATTATTTGAAGTGCATTGGAATATACCCAATACACTGTACCCTCACAGTACAAAGGGAAGCAACTTTAGTTGTTCTACATAGGGGCAATATTGGCAGATCAATGGTGCAATATCAGCAGGTGCCGTATCAGCAGGTCGGTGATCTAGATCCATATTAAATTGGTAGTGAGTAAGGATCTATCGCGCCATAAACAATCCATGAATGAGACATGTCAAAAATCTTCTTAGACTTCAATTGAGAATATAACCTTTTTATTTTCAGTAATTTCGGTGAGCATTATTTATAGTTGATTTGTATTGCATTTGGGTTCCGTCGACCTTCCTGACAGTAAGTATCGGTAAACGGACAGAAAGTCACAGGACAAAAAGTCACAGGACATAAAGTCACAAATTTGATAGGACAAAAAGTTTTTCCTTGTTAAAAGAAAAATAATCTCAAAACTGAATTGTGACTTTTTGTCCTGTGACTTTTTGTCCGTGACTTTTTGTCTGTGACTTTTTGTCCTGTGACTTTCTGTCCTACATTCTAAGTATCAATCCCATTTCTTAAAAATATGAACAAGGGACAAAAATGGGAACCTTGACGATTTGGGTCACTGACATTTTCAATCTCTGATTTATCTGGCCAACATAATTTCTAAATTATCTGTATTTGCAATATCTTTGTATTTAATGTGTAACCTTCCACATATCTTTTGCATGTCATGGTTTTTCATCTCCCTTTTATGTTCAAGTTTGTACAAGATAACTGGCTTATGATGAGGAATTGTGTATGCACGGCGGACAATGTTCTAGAATAATATAGAATCACGAGACATTATTATTTGTAAACAAACGACCACCCAACAGAACACGTGTCGAAACTTTCCATGTATATCATTCCATATTTTGATTTTTTTTTTACAGATTTTGCAAACATTATTGGATTTTCAGCTATTTGTCTAACCAAATTTTTGTCTAAAATCTAAT